TAATACCAAAACAATCCTACTACTAATTACAATACTACTCATCATAACAAAACAATAATACCAATACTGCTGCTAATAATAATAATAACAATAACAATAATAATAACAACAAAACAATAACAATAATAAAACAAAACAATACTACTACTACTACTAATACTACTTTTTTTCAGCACTGAATACACCTATTACTTGTTTCTTTGCAGCCTATGCACGCTGACGCAGCTCCCCACCTGAACTACTCCTACTAATAATAGAGCTTATCTGCGAGTGCTTTTCAGGAAACTCGGAGCTCCAGATGTAAAGGCTCTGGCTGTTTGTGCAGAACGCAGTGGGGACGACAAGCAGACCCGCCCTGCGGTGCGACGGAGAGCGAGGCCTGTCTGACAGAGACCGCCATGGAGGACGCACCTCCTCCCCCCCCCCGGGCCTGCTCAGCCCCACGCCGTCACTTCCTGGAGGCCGGGGCTCGCTCGTCCCTTCCCCCTCCCCCTCGCGTCACACAAACCCCCCCCTCACTGCCGGCTCGCCGCGGGCGGACCCCTTCCTCAAACAGAAGCCGGGGCTTTTTTGTTTAATGAGCTGGGTAGCTTGCTCCATTCTCCCACAACTCTTTGTGTACAGGTCTAAAGTAGTCCTGTAGGTTGATGGTTGTCAGTGCCTTTGAGGATCTAGATCCGGTCCTCTCGTAGCCTTCTCTGTCCAAGACTAATAGTTTCTATTTTATTTAAGAAACTGTTACCTCCAAACATGTCATCTATCTGTGGAAACTCAAAACATTAAAAATGAGTATCTTGAAAATTCTCTGGCACTTTGCAACAGGGGAGAATGTTGTCTGACACTGGTCTGGTGATACTTCTCCCTCCTCTCTATCGTATTGTTAGAGAGGCTCACTTTCTGTTCAGTATGTGACACATACTGAGTTCACCTGCCTTTCCTCCCACCGTAGGTAGGAGTGGAAGCTGTTCTGATTTTGTGGAATTTTAAAACTTGATTTGTTATTTTGAAAGTTTTATTTAAAATTATTTGTTATTTTGTTATTTTCTTTAATTCTTGAACATTTTTACTGTATAAAGTCCAATTCTGTCTCTGTTTCTTATTGCTGGAAGTAGGAGCACAGCCTGTCATCTCTGGAAAGCCGGTTCTGTCTGTGTCCAGTTTCTATGGCCAGGCTCTGGTCACTGAGTCTGTTCTCTCTGTACAGTCAGGTCTGCCTGTGTCCAGTTACTATGTGCAAACTGTGGTCACTGAGCCCGTCCACTCTGGGCAGCCAGGTCTGCCTGTATCCAGCTTCTATGTCCAGGCTGTGGTCACTGAGCCTGTCCTCTCTGGACAGTCAAGCCTGCCTGTGTCCAGTTACTATGTGCAAACTGTGGTCACTGAGCCTGTCCTCTCTGGACAGTCAAGTCTGCCTGTGTCCAGTTTCTATGTGCAAACTGTGGTCACTGAGCCCGTCAACAGTTTATATGGTTGGCCTGTCATCTCCGAATCTGTATTTGAATCCCCCAGCCTCTCTCACCCAGTGGGTTTGCTCCGCGGAATATCTTCTCCAGGTCTTGCTGGGGCATGTAGGGCAAAGACTGGATATACTTCTGCGCCTGCGGGGGAACGTGACACTCAGCAGCGCACAGACACGGGGCGTTTGCTCCAGAGTAAAACTCGCTCCACCTCAAGCTCGGCTAAAACCCTCAAATCATAAAAAAACATATAAGAAAAGGATTTCCTCCCCACACCTCTTGTAAGAATCTGAACTGTTATTGTGACCTTTAATTGTGTGCGAGAGCTTGACCCAGGGTGATCCACGTGTGCTCAGTTCCTGTGCTTGTGGTCACTTGTGATATAGTGCACTACCACACCTCTTCGTCTGTCATGCCTGTCTTTCCGGCACACGTTAGAGAGTACAAGCCTGTGGTTTCCCCACATCTCCCCCGCTTTGATCAAGCTTTGTCATTTTCCAGTAGCGTTCTAGTCCAAGAGTAATCGAGTCAC